TGCCTTAGAATGATCAAAGGGTAATTCCAGATTTGTTGCAAATTTAACTCTGGGTTTCATCTTCAGTTATCATAAGGACTTTGTATTATTTTTGTTCTTAATTGACATTCTGAAAATGAGATGGCATGAGATGTTCAGAAAAAAAATACTGCTCTTTGATACTGTTTGTACTGGTAGGATATAATTAGTTGCATAAGTTTCCTGATTTAACATGTTGGATTTATTTCAGGAATAATAAAGTTTCTGTTTCTTACTGGCTTCTTTGTAATATATTCCATGCAGAAGTCTTTGACGTTTGTTGCGGGGATGTCCTTCACTTTACAAAGCTACCAGATTTTGCTCTGGAAGCTTCTCAATTCCAAAGCACACATCTGGATGTGTGCACAAGGGCAGTAGCACTTTGCATGGCCTGTAGTGACAGGTTTTCACAGACGTCCCCCATTGGCCACTGCAGGAGATAAGATACAGTGCTAGTTGGGTTGCAAGAACCTGTGTGGAATTATTCTTGCTTTTGTGGTATCAGTGGAAAAAAAACTGAAATATTATTTCTGGAAAAAATGTAATGATACCATCAAAGATTTAACTAGCTATTTTAGCCTTCCAGATCTGCCAGAAAGGATATAGCTCAGTAATGATCAGGATGGCTATTGAACAGCAGGTCTTTGCTTGTGAGCTAGCAGAGCTGCATCACATCATGCCCTTGGTACAATAACAGTGGTTCCATATTCTGATTAGAAAACCAATCATGTGCAACAGCCAAAGGACTTGCTTTTTCTCATACTATTGAAAGCAGGAAAAATTATTTTATCTCTTTCTTTTTTCCATCTTGTGGCTTCTAATGAACTAGTTCCAGGTTCTCTGTGGGTAACTCAACAGCTTTCATCTTTTCAGGTCCCATTTCTGAGTCAGGACCTGGTGCTATTAGGGTAACAATATGTTTCTATATGTTTGTAAAAACAATAATATGTTATTTACAATTAATAGATAATAGTGTTGACAACATAAATATGTAGCAAATCAAATCTTATTAGGTACTGAGGACATAAAAATTTAAAACTCTTTAACTGTAGCACACAAACTTTAGTAGGCATATTCTTTCAGGGACAGTGAATAAAAGTGGATGTTTAGATGCCCTTCAGTACAAATCTGCAGTGATTTGCTGCATTTGAAGCAGTCTGATTCTATACATGTGCATATTTCTCAGCTACACATTGTTTTGAAGGAATCTTAGGAAATTACCCAGTCAGGCTGGGAGAAACACTCTTCCCAGTCATGTGAGATGGCTTTGTCTAGATAGCTCTTAAACTGCACTGGATGAAGGTCCCACCACCCTGATGAATAGCCTGCAGGTCTGCAACACCTGCCTGTTGAAAAAAGAGGGGATTTGATATGGGGAAGAAAGAATGGAAGAACCACCCTGAACCTCCCAAGTGGCAGTTTATGGTCATTGTCCCTTTTCATATGCTCTGTCACTGCTGAGAAGATTCTGGCTTCTTTATCATTGTGATTTACCTTCAAGTAGATGTAGGCTGCTACTGGGTCACCTGTTAGATCACCCTTCTGTCAGACCAAACATGCTTATCTTCATCAGCTGCTCCAAGACAAAAGCTCAAGGCTCCTGAGTATCTTGGTTGCTCTCCAGCATTTCCTCTGTCTTGTTCACATCCCTGTTCAGCTGGGAAGGATCACAGCTGACTGCCCTAGTGTGAGGCTGTGCTGAGGAGGAAACTTTTTCAACCTGCCAGTCCCAGTATTCCAATATAGCTGCTTTCTGCTTTCCTTATTTCTGATGAAAGTGTGCTGTTGGCTTGCTCAACCTGCTGTGTCCACAGAAATGCCCGTCTTGCTGGGCCTGCCACCCGGAACCCAGACAGTGGATTCCCAGCCTGAATGGATACATGGGATTATTCTGCACCAGGTGCAGATATCTGCTTTTCTTTTAGCTGCATTCACAGATGTTTGTGAATTTCATGTCCATTATTTTCTTGTTCTATCTCTGTCATTGTGTACTGACCAGAGAAGTGGAGATGTAACAATCTTTAAACCCACTTGTCCTCTTGCTTTGTGACTGGCAAAGAAGATTAAATGCTCAGCCATGCTTCGTTCCTTCTCTTTCCTGGTGCTGTTCACACAGACAGCTGTCGGACAGCAGACCTTGCCTGGAACCCTGTCATGGACACTAAATAACACCTAGCCTCTATTTTTCACTTGTTTTTTGTTGGTTTCTTTTTTCGTTGGTTCTTTTTGAGGGAGCAGGGGGTTTGTTTATTTTTTGTTTGTTTTTGTGGAACCTTTTGTGGTTTTGTTTTTTTTTTTTTGTTGGAGAGTTATTGTCCACCTCAGGGTTTTCTGTAGATAAGTATTAGGAATGCTTACCTTTGTAAAAGACCATTTCACATTTATTTTTTGAGGCTTGATCTACTAAATTTTCTCATTTGTACTGGCTTTACTTTCTGATTCAAGAGTAGTGACCTAAACCACTACACCAGGGGAAGCAAATAATTTTCCATAAAAATAAAAATTGATCCATGGCTTTCTATGAAGAAGACTGCAAAAGGCTTTCTTTGAGAAAGAGTCACCAAGCCCTGGGTCGGGGAGGGTTCATGCATGTGAACTTTCTTCTATTTGTTGTAAGATTTTCTTAAATGAGATTAGGAATTGTGTTTAGGAAGGTTAGTATTTGAATTTCAAATAAATGTACAAGCTTTGCAAGCAGAATCTTCTTCATCCTAAAGCAAGACATGAGTTAAGAAATTTCTTCATAATTATCTTTTTGCTGTAATTTTTTCTCCTTTCACAAAACCCGTGCAATGAACATTATACGTGGGGATGAGACTCTTATCTCAGGTCAATTTTTCTTGGTGTACCAGTCTTTGGTGAGGCTTTTTTTGTCTTTTTTATTGAGTGTCATGTATGATGTGTGAACTCTTGGGAAACTTTCTGTGGTCTCATATGATGAAAGAACCTGCCCAAAATTACAGATTTATTCAGAGTTGGTATATGAATTTATAGTATGGCATTGTTCTCAAAGGAGAGGTGGTTTTAGTGAATTAAAGAATGGATTTATAAAGATTTTAATTGCCTGTGAGATAATATTTGTGTGACAGATTTTCAAAGTAGGCCCTGAACAGTATCTTAATGGTCTAGACACCTTTCTTCATGACATTTTTTAAAGTTTCTGTGTTGTTCAACTTTTTCAATCAGAAACAGGTCATGATATCTATTCAGACTTGATGCTCTTTCCATGCTCCAAGTCTGACTGTATTTTTAATAGATATTCACCCTGTTTTACTGTTTATTGTAGCTTAATTAAGTTTCCTGAATTGGGTGAAAGTACAAGTGAACTAATATTTTGCAGTAATTTCAAATAATTTTTAGCATCAAATGGAATACCAGTGATTATTCAGTTAATAATAGTGATTTCCCTATTCATGAGAATAAGCATAATTAAAATACTTAACAATACTCATAAAAATGCAGTTAAATTTTTCATAATTGTTTCAGTGGAAAGGAAAAGCACATGGTTTGTTATTTTATTAATCTTTTTATGAAGAAAATATATAGGAGGAAAACCTTTTATTCCTTGACAACAGAAACTGCTGACAGTGCAAATAAATCTCACTGTGGTAGGGTAGTTATTTCTTAGTAATTCAAAGGTAAAACTTATTTGCCAAATATTTAACATTCTTATATGGTTCATATTTTCATTAACATAAGCAGTGAAAATTAATGAAATTTGCAACTGATTTTAATTGAAGCACAATTGAGTCTTTTGCTCTCAGGTGGAAAAGATGGAGTAGAAAGCATGAATAATACTATCTAACAAAAAAATCTTTAACATGTACGCATAATAGACATAATTTACTATGTTATTCCTAATGAGGCAGATGTTCATTTCACAATAAATGTTGCTTTTTCTCATTAACACTAACACCCAAACTATTTCTCAATGCATTAACACAATACAGCATGCATTCTTTCTTTTTTAAATTAATGCTGGTGCATTAAGAGTCACTTGTAAACATGTTTTACATAAAATGTACTGAGTTTGGGGAAACCTGAAATATTTTTTCTCTTTGTTTTCTCTGCAAGATTTTTAAATTTTTTTTGTAAGTTGGTTTTACAGATTTCCTGTAAGAGAGCAGATATAGATTACTCAAGGGACTGCCATCACAGATCAGTTAAGGTAGAAAATTCTTGAACTGTACAGTTTATCAATTAATTTTAAGGAGTTGCCCTTTCATGTGCAAACCCCCTCTCCCTTTAAAGATATTAATTAAAAGTTCAAAAGCTGTCTTATATGTCAGCTGCACCTAATCAAGAAATATTTTCAATTTTCTGTTGAGCATTAGATTTATCTTCTGATAGCTATATGAGTTGCAGTGTAATTGCATTACAGGAAGCTCAGCAAAACGTTCATCATTTGGGGCACTGAAGTGTAGTCTCAGACAGTGTCTTCTGCTTGAAAGACTATGTGATTATTTCTGAATATATACAGTCTGGTCCACTCTGATTCAGAGGTGGACACAGTCCTCCAGCCAGACATATCTGAAATTTTCTGTTTGGATTTCATCCAAGAAAATCTCCAAACATAAATGTGTGTGTTTTCCTTAGCAGAGATGGACATAAGTATGTCTCTAAGCATTTTCTTGAAGAGTGAATAATTTTCAAAGGCATGAAGTACCTGCAGCTTCCTTTCATTATTCTATTGTGCATTCAATGGGTAATTCACTTTTTTCTCCCCACTTGTACAGAAAGAAGTTTAACAAATGAATCATGCTCTTAACCTGATTAGAAATAATGAAGAAAGGAAGTTCAGTACCTGCCCACGTCTTGATTTTAGCATTATATTCCTGTTTGTCTTGGATTCCTTCTTGCTTTGAGACTCCACAGTTTGACAAAGAAAACATATTAATGCCTTTTGAGGTTTCTGTAGAGTTTTTATTCTTTTATTGTAATCATACGTGATACCATATGGAAGGAACAGACTGGTGCCAAGAGTCAAATGTGACCAAGTCAAGAGAATAAAAACTTTATGCGTTGAGAAAAAAAATGCTACTGAACACATTCAGATACCTCCTATTTCACTAGTATCATAGGTTAGTACACTTGCACACACTCTTGAGGTCATTCAGTCAGAAATAGCATCTAATCTAGGGCATTAAATTTAATTGCTTTATGTGGCCTAAGCTCATCCATAACCGTGGTATCTGAGAACTACCCATTAGAAGTAAATGCACAAATCTTTCCCTTCAAAGCTTTTGTGACAGGAGTGCACTTAAAAGTTGCTGCTGGGCCTTTCTGCACATAAGACTCCTGACATACTTGAGAGGGTCTTTTGTGGGAAAACTGAGATGAAATACTGTTTTGGATGCATTTCTGTAGGTAGTGGGGATGGAGGGCCACTGATCCTTGGCAGGGAGTTTGAAAATGTAGGCCACTCTCTCTGTGAGAAAAGTGTCTGTAAGTGCATCTTTTTAATAGTGAAACTGCCCTGTCACAGGGGAGATGGCAGGTGGTACTGAAGCTGACAGTAAAGCTGGCTTGATGAGGCTGGTGTGATATCCAGTAGTGCAGTATTATAGTGATACACTACTGCCAGGCTGGTAAGCAGGTGATGTCCTCTTCCCATCAGGCAGCCCAATATTGGAGAAAAGGAATTGCCATGTTTCCAAAAAAATCACACAGTGAATTCATCACCTTGAAAAACTCTTTTACATCCAAGAAAAGTATGCTGACTGGGGTCAGAAGTCTCTAAATTCATTGGGAGGAGAGAAGTCTCTTTTTCTGTTTACATCTCTCTGCAGTTGATATTTATCTGTCGAGTCAGGTTTATTCACAGGTACCAGAAGAATCACTGCCACAGGAAGGAGCAGAGTCTTGCTCTTTGCAGCTCTGTGCAGAAGGATCTGTATAGATGGCAGGAAATGTAAAGCTGTGTGTGAACGAGCTGCTTACAGGTATCTGTGCAACAGGGAGGGAGGGAGGGAGAGAGGAAGACCCTATGCTGGCAATGGGAGGGTTTTTCTTAGACCTGTACCTCAGACTCTTCTGAATGTAGTTCTGAGAATTTAGAAGCATCAAATCACAGAATCATTTAGGTGGGGAAAGCGTTTAAGATCATAGAGTCCAACTGTAAATCTAACACTGCCAAATCCACCACAAAGCCATGTCCCTGCATTCTGTATCTACCACAGGTCTTTTCAATGCCTCTAGTGATGGGGAGTGAATAACTTTCCTGAGTGGCCTGTTCCAGTGCTTGGCAATCCTTTCTTTCTGTGAATTTTTTTTTTCCTAATATCCAATCTAAACCTCCCCTGGAACACCTTGAGGCCACCCCCTCTTGTCCTATTGCTTGCTACTTGGAAGAGGAGACCAACCCCATCCTCACTTCAACATGCCTTTCTTGTGCCTTTGGCCACATTTCATTTTTTCACTAGAAAGGTTAATAAAATGTTGCTTCTTCTAGGAGGTTCCATTACGCTTCAGGTGCAGCTATGGTTAGTTACAGGAAGTGTGCATGCCCTCAAGTGACTTGTTCAGCTTCTAGTTGATGAATCTCTACATGTTTTTCTCTTTGATATGTCCCAACCACATCTGCAGACTGAAGATAAAGCAGAATTTAGAATAAAAGACGAAGAGCTTTGCTAATGTCTGGGGGTGTTGTAAATTTTTATATGATTCAATTTGCTCAAGCAGACATTTTTCTTTCCCCTTAAGCTTGGAAAATAGAGATTTCATTTAGTGGTTGGAGATACTGTCTGGAAGGGAGCTATCCTTCCTGAAAGGTCACACTGATTGCTGACTAAACTCATGATTTACCTTTGCAAATAGTTTGTTTGCCAGGTGGAGTATTGGAGTTGAGAGGTTATTGTTGGCTATAATGAGGAGATGATAGTCCTGAATTAGAAACACTCTTTGGAAGGAATTTTGACTTTCATCCTGAAAATTCTTGTAGACATACTTTTTAGTGGTGCTATTAATAGATGTAGGTATTTACAGAGTAATTACTAGAAACCATCAAACTGAACATTGATAAAAGCTCTATCTTTACTTCAGGAATGATGGCAAAAACCCGTCTGAATTAGAGAGATTTTATAAAGCTTCTTAAGTTGTATTGAGAAATTGTTCTATGGAGAGAGGAAGGCCTAATCTTCAGTGCTCCCACATTATGGATGGGCACTCTGCACGAGATTTTGCTGTTTGGAGATATTAGATGGGGAGAGTTATGGTGAGAGAATCTGTGGTGTTGCAGAGGCAGAAGAATTTATCTAGGTGTGAACACAGTCACGGAGGGAAAGGAGAATTTATGACTGTCTACTTGACTGTAACAGTACTTGACTGATACTATATATTACTTTCAGGTTGGAAATGTGTTTGTCTTCTATTAATAATATGTTTTAAATATTTTTCCCCCCTTTCACCTGTTTTCTGTAGAGAGAAAGCTGAAGCAATTGTATGACTCAGTTTACTGGATTTATATGTAAATAAAACATGGTATTGACCTTTACATTTTTCTTCCATTGAGGTCTTCACCCTGTGTGCAGATCTGTGGAAGTATCACAACATGAAAGTTCTGTTCACTACCTGATTATATTCCTGACTGCTTTTCCTTTGGTAAATATTCATGTAAATCTTGCTGAAGCTGAGCCTCAGCTAGTTTATTCCTCTTTGGGCCCACTCTTAGCTGGAGCTCAGGTCGCTTTTTAGCTGCTCTTACAGGTCATTTCATGGGAAGGGCTGCAGCTGGACAGCGAGATGCAGTCTAATCTCTGACCTCCAGCATGGCTGCATCTACACTTGGAGGAAAACCTGGGGAGGTGCCTCTGAAACACCCTCTGGAATTCAGAAATTCGGTGAGAAATGCGGTCCTCAGGGACTTTTTCTTCAGAAAGGGATTCAGTCAGTCTTACTCTTGTCCAGGGAGTTTTCCTTGAAACCATAACTGAGTTAATAATACACATAAAATATAAAAGACATCTAAAAGTATATTAATATTAGATCAAATGTTGTTATTGCTGCTGTTCATGAATGGGAAAGCTGGAGCCAAAGTAACTGTTCTAAACTGAGCACAATACCACACCAGTAAGTCTCAGAAGAAAAGTATTTACTTGGAAAAATCCTTCATATGATTTTGCTCTCCAGGATTTTTCATACGCCCATATCTGTAAATTATCTCACCACAATAAAAGGTCATGGCATTTTTTTGGCTTGCCTTTATCACCAGCTTTAGAAGTTAAATAATATAATGGATAATGACTGAAAACTTGGATATATTACAATATGACTGAAAACTTGGATATATTACAATAAAACGGTGACATTTCAGACATGATCTCCACCTGGAAGATAAAATTTACTACCAGAGTGCTCATTTATTTAAGAAATATGATTTTACAAAATTTTGACTGTATTTTTCAGGCTTATTAATCCATGACAAAATTGTATTCTTCTCTGTCTTAAGTATAAAGTCTCTATGAAGTAAGACATAAATGAAAATAATCCTGGCAGAAAATGTGAACAGTTGTAAAGCAATTTGCAGAAGAGTCAGCGAAGAGATCTGAAGTGTATTTTGGTTTTGGAAATGGGATCAGTATATTAGAGAGGCCTATTCATCTCTCAGTGTATATTTAGCATCCTGCAGTGAAGCAGTGACTGCCTCCATCACAGTCCAGCGTGTATCACAGAGTCATGTCTTGCAGGCCCACAGGGTTCTGCTGTAGTCAGTGTTTTGTGATGGCTCAGTGATAAAGTTCTGTCTTTCGGCCTTGTCTTTAAACGTGAGGCATACTGTAATGGATATGTGACCTTGGCAGGTTATCCTGTTCCAAGTATGGATCTGTGGATTAATTTCAAACTGAGGGCTGCCTTCCCTACCTCTAGAGGGTGTGCAGGTGGTGGCAACAAATCACTACACATACAGTTCATACTGTTTTCTGGCAGGAGAATAGAATTGTTGTCTTGCAGTTTAGCCCTGGGAATTGCTGGTTACATGTTCTAAAAAAATCATTAGTATGTTAATTAGAACATTAGAACTAGAAGAATTCTAATTCTAATCTAAGAGGACTAGAAACAGTAATTAATGAAGAACACTGGAAAATTGTTAGGACACCTTGTGAAAATGATGGCACATAGAGGTACAGTTCTGGAGGATTACCAATCTGCAAATTTCTTTCATGTAACAAATGCAGACTATATGAGTTCATGATTAAATAATCCTAGAATTTAAATAATCGTGCATTTTTCTAAATCACTGCAGACAACTGTTGTCACTGTCTTTTATGCAGGGTGATAGCCCAGACATCATTGTTGAGGTGGACCTTTATAATTCCTAACACGATCTTTGTTGAGCTAATATCTCAAAAGTATGACCTATTTGTCACCACAGTTCAAATTATTGTGCAAACTCTTATTATTTCGGTTCTTGCAAGCTCATTCTGTCTGGACTCAGCAGTATGCTCTGTGTGCTCATCCTTGTGGCTGTACAACCCTTGCTCCTCTTACTGCTCCCTCCTTGCCTGGGGAGAGAGTTAATCTCTTCACTTTCAATGGCTGTAGAAAGTATCTGGCTAGTTAATTTCTACAATTACATTTATAAGTGAGTAACAAAACCAGAAAGTCAGCTTTGCATGATTCATGAGGTGGAAGGAAACAACAAATGGAACTGTTCCTTTTTGCTGGGTCTGACACCCTCAGCAGCATGTGATAGAAATGCTTTTCATATACCAATAAACTACCAGACAGTAGTGACAGTAGACTAGCATGAGTGCACTTCTAACTTACTGCAGCTAAACCCAGCTTCAGTAAAACTGTAACTAAACCTATGATGTGTTTTTTTCCCGTTAATTTTTGAAAGTGACACTTACTTTGTCAGATGCTGAACTGTTGTTGCATGAGCTTGTAATTTCAGTGTTTACCAATTTTATGAAAATTAATTATCACATGGTTTATGAAAGTCTCCTTCCTGTATTATTTGTCTTTGTCTGAAGGTACTGAGTTAGAGAAATGGATGACTGGTGGAAGAACAAGCAGAATGGCAGCACAGCTTCTCAGCACGTGGCAGGGGAACTAGGATGCAGATGAATTAATAGTGTTAAATATACACCTAGTTTTACAATTTTCCCTGAGGTTGGGAGCTAAAAAACTGCTGAGTTTAGTTGCTGGTAGAGACTGCTAATAATATGGGGAAAACAGTCAATGGGATACCATGGAAGAACATATTGAAATCATTCCCATGGGTTCTTATAGACAAGTTGCTGTCAAAATCCTAGGGCTTGACAGTATTTGAGAAGGGTACACATGAATTGGAGCAGTTAGTTCATTTTCAGGTATGTTTTTAGGCAGCTGCTTCTGCCAACTCACTTCTACATATGTATACTTCTGCAGCCTTTATGTATGGAATGAGGATGGACTTAATGCTCTTGAGATAGTTTAATTAATTTCAAGTGATATTGCTGTGATACCATCGCTGTGTCTTCTGGGACATTCTACAAAACCTCTAAAACTGTGTACAAATTATGTGCAAATTCTTCAAAAACAGGAGTGGAAAAGAATATTTTTGCTTGTGACCTTGGATGAAACAGCAATCCAGATCTTTGCAACTAAGTGTCTTAAATATTTTTCCCCTCTTACAAACTCTGGATGACAGGTGTTAAAAATTGATATATATCAGGGTAAGTAGGTGTCTAGGTAGGCTGAGTCCACTGTGCTTGCTCTTTCAGTTCTGCATTGAATCATTTAATACATGTCTATTAAAACAAACCTTTGTCTTCCCCAAAGACATGGGAAATAAGACTGCCAGCTCTTGTATCCTGAGGGGAAAAAAGAACCAAAATCACAAAAAACCCAACCAACCAACCAAAAAAAACCCCACCAAAATAACCCCACAAAACCAAAAAAACCCACAAAACAACAACAACAACAACAAAACATCCAAAAAAAACTCCCAGCAAAACTGACTGGATTTTTTTTTTTCATATGGAGAATCATATCAAGCTTTTGACTCCCAAGAGTTTCTAAATTCTTTTTCCAATGGAAAGGCGAAAAAAAGATTCTTTTTCTTCTTTGAGTATATAGGTGTTTTCTAATATACCACTCATAATTAAGACATAAGACTTCAATTTGAGTGGCTTTTTAACTACTCTGCTAGTCAATTTTTTCTTCTTTTGCTTGTGCCCAGTTGATTTCCTAAGGAGCTATGATCTTTTCTTACCTCTGTGCTCTCTGATTAACTCAAGTTTTCCCTCAGAGGACGAGGGAACTGGAACCTACAGTGGTCACCCTTGTAACAGGATCCCGTGGACGTTGCTGACGGTGAAAAGAGCACAGCTTTTAGCACCATGGTTTATTTCCTTTGAAATTTCAGCACCATCCTGACATTTACCTAGCACTCTTTTGGCTTTCAGAAAACTCTTTGATGCATTCAAGCATGTAGTTATTTATAAATATATATATGTATATATAAAAGCGCTGACGTACAGTGCTGTCTCCATTAATGAAAGCAGAGAGCATGATTTATATTTTGTTGAGTCAAACACTAGTACTTTTGGATAAAGAAGTCTTTAGCAGGTACAAACAGCAGGCCAAATCCTAAAGCTGTTTACTAGCCATTAATTCCAGGCTCAATCCAGAAGCTCTTACTCAAGCAAAATGCCTGTAGAGTAATAGGATGCTTTATCTTCTTATTCTTGAATTTTTAAGAGTGCTGTGTAATTTTTTTTTTTTAAATTGTGTGGATTTGGATCAACCCCACGTCACCTCATCTTGTGCAGCCTCAGGAGTGGCTGCTTGTGCAATGGTGTATTATAGAGTAAATCACCTGCAGCTGCAATGTATCACAGTATGCTGCAGACAGTGCTTTTACATTTTTGCTTTAATCATTTGCAATGAGTAACAGAGTGGCAAAATACTTTGTCTTGAAAAGTAGCCATTGAAATACTGCTGTAAAAGTCACCATAGAGTTTGGAAAATTATATGGTACAAAAGAACCTATTTTGCTACACACAGTTTTATTCATTTCTGAAAATGATTGTTCTTTTGCAGGCATGGAAATCTGGATATGTTTCTAATGTAAAAAGAATAGGAAATACTTCAGTTGTTCAGATAGCTCTTAAATGTATTTTAGTTTGATAGCTGATTGTATATTATGTTTGCAGCCTTTGTACAAAGCAGTGTTTAATAGCAGAGTTTGCTCCATAATGAACATAGATGAAGACTGTTCTTTATACTATCAATGTAAAAACCCACATGTATAATGCTATTGATGTTCAGTTGTCCCATTGCTTGGAATTTATTGCCACACTGCTTGGCACACAGCTGGCAAATAAGAGAACTCCTTACAACTCCAACTTCAGACTTGTCACTTCCCATTTAGAAAATGACCTTACAACTTAGCCAAATGACTGGACTGCTATGGAGCAGCAGCTGTTAGTGGAAAGTTCTCAAAATTGGCATGGATCACATACTGGTCTCTCCTTTAATTGCTGATATCGTCGCCTGTGTATGTAGTTATCAATGTCTGTAATTGCTTTATAGTTCTCAGACAATTCTCTAATGGTTAGGATTGATTTTTAGCTTTTAAATTGAAAATATCTGAGGATTAATCTACTGGTTCGTATTGTGTATTTTCTAGTGACTTTATGTAAATTGCTAATTATTAATAACACCCTTGAGGCATGAAAATAAATTCTGTAACATTCTCGTGATGAGATATATTTTCTTTTGAAATCTCTGGGACCATATTTGGCCCAGTTGATTAATATAACTTGCCTGCATAGTATTGTGAAAGAGAAAAATAAAGAGTAAAATAAAACAGCTCAGCTGCACATTTCAACATGTTTCTGATGGAACAGTCCCAGACAAGCATGAGGTTTTTGTAATCATCTCTTTGGTCCCACCTGCCCTGGACCACTGCAAAATACAGTGCCTGATCTCATAATTTTACCTTAAGGTAAAATGACAAATTCTCAACATGAGCTGCTACTTAAGTCTGGTTTTGTACCTGTTCTATAATTAAATCTGTCTTGAAGATTGTCTACAGAGAGGTATGATCATCAAATGAAAAACCCTGCAATTTATAAAGGTTTAAAAAGGTGAGAGTTAACAGCTGATAATTAAAGGTATCATTGCTTTAGTGCACTTACCCTCATTTGATGTTCAGTCCTGATCTGTAACATTCAGTGCTGTTGTGTTGTCAGTGTTGGTCGTGTGACTCAAGTTGTGTAAAGCCACAGTTGTGAAGATACTCTCAATGGTACTGGGTACAAATATACTTAGAACCCATTTCCTGTTGTGGAGTTCTTCCTTGCAGTGTGCTGTATGCTAATACATTACAACTTGCAACTTGCAGTGTTTTATTGCTTAATTTAAGCATAGTTTGCATTTCTTATGGTTTGATTGGTTGGCAAGGCATGCAGAAATTCTGAGTCAGATGCACCTATTTCTGGATGTCCAATATAATTAGGTGCAGCCCTGAAGCAACATGTTTTGTGCAACTTTCCAGGCACACAAAATGCAGAAATACAAGGGAGGATTTAAAAGTTGTTTGGAAAAAAAAAAAATTAGTGCCATTTAACTTTGACTTATGATTGTATTTGTTCTGATAAGCTTCATAATTATAAGATTATGCTGCTTTTTTTTCTTCCTGTTTTCTTTTTGTATTCTTTTTTTTTTCTTTCTTTTTTTTTTTGTTTTAGTAATTATAACTTTGACACATATGAAATATGCCAGATGGAAATTCCTGGTAATGTCAGTGTCCTGTATAACTTTGGAGTAGTTACGTAGAACTGGTGTGGTCATTAAATTCCACAAATTGCTGTTTTCTGTAACCTTGTCCTAGGGGCATTGCTCTTGAAAGTGAGTTTTGTTTCTGTAGCTTAGGTAGTCTGGTTTGCATGACCAGCCTGCTAAAAAGTGTGTTGATTACTGCAGTTGGGTGCATGGTGCTGACTGAAACCGGCAGCTTCTTCTAGGCATTATTCACTGCTGCTAATTTTTGTCTCCAAAAAATTGGGTTTGAATTTGTCACCAGGAGAGGAAAGCAGTTTGACTTTAATAGTCTTACTAAAATGGAAAAGTATCCAAAAAAAAAAACGTTTCTGTACTTTTGAAGACTAAAGTTGTATTGAACAGATAATTTTTAACTGCATCAAAAACAATTAAGTGCTTAATTGCTTGTGTGTAAATAACAGAGCAAAATCCATATGGGTAGTAATTTAGGGAGAAATTAAGTGCCACAGAGTATAGTATTGGTTTTCCTGAAATACAAGAAATCTATCAATTCCCAGAGCACAGAATCACATTCATCCATTTATTGAAAATATTTCCTCTTAAGAGAGGTGTGTAGAATTTAAAGGTCTAAGGGAAAAAAAGTGCATTTATTATGCACTTTTTAAATGCATAGTAAATTAATAATATTTTATTATTATTATTTATTATTTTATTATTATAAATCTTAATAAATAAAGATTTAAAAATATAAAAACATTTAGTCGTCTTTAGATTTGTTTTTTGAGGTCTGCCCCAGTTTTCTTGGCTTCATTTTGAGAAGTGTTGTCCCACATCTGCTACCCTTGGCTGAGTGCAGGCGTGGTTTTCTCTGGGTGGCACCAGTAAATGTCTGTTAGGGTGTGGCTGTGTGTGAATCCAGGCTTGCTTTTTTTCATGCTCATAAGCTTCTGGCCTGCTGATGTTATGGTAATCACTTCAAAATCCAGGTAGGCACTCTAGTCTGTAGTGATGTGAATGCATAGGTTTGGGTCACTATGTTTTCACAGTTATGGTTAGTCAGGCCTTTTACCTGTTGTTCGTCTTCATTTCTGTATTTTTTTTTTTTTTAATAGAGGGTCTTTTGAGTCTTGTTTATTTCCCCTACTAAAAATCCTTGGCATGTGATTTCTTTCTTTTGTAAAGCCTTACATTAAAAGTAAAAAGACTCCGTTTAATATATGCATATTGCAAAATTGTGTTAAATACTTGATTAGATTATTCACTTTCTTTTATTTAAAATACATTTTATAATCCAATTAGGTAGATAATAACAATAAACGAATTCCCTAAAATTCCAGTAAATAACATAGATGACATCTTAAATTTTCAGTAGATGAAAAATGAAGTGACATTGGAGACTCAGAAAAATAAAGCCAAAACTGAAATTTGGGGAAATTTCTGGGGCATTTTTTAATTAATTTTTAAAAATTTGTGAGATAATTTTTAGAAAAATATCATTCTAAACCCCTTGCACTGTAGTTTTTAAAAATGAGTAATGATGTGAATGAACATTTATCCCTTGCTCTGTAGCTTTCAAAACTTTGACATTTCTCCCATGCTTTAAGCTTTCCCTTCCTTTCTGCGATGTTTTCCTTCTGACCCAGCAGCCATACACTGGATAGGTGCACCAGTGCAATGTGAGCATGTTTAGCTGTTATTTAATGTATATGCTGGGCTATTCCTCATGCTAAATGCATACAGAGGCACCATCAAGTGAATGAGTTCCAATAAATTGCAGACCCGCCTTTAGGTGGACTGTAGAGCTTTTGTACATAAGTATATGTGTATCTGTGTATAAACATCTTGTTAAAGTAGCAGCTTCTGCTCTTGAGGTGAAATGATGGGGGCTTTCCTGTTTCCACATCACTTTGGACTGGTTGCACCTATTCTGTCTTGTACTTGGCATCTTGTACTCTTCTGAGCATCAGATGATAGTCCTTACACATATTCTTAGGGGCTTTTGTCCAAACTATCCAAAAGAATGAGAAAACTGTGTTGCAGCCCATCAGAACGGTGATTTTTTTATAGCACTAAACTTAAATCACATGTTTTATAACCTACTGTCAAGTAGCAAGCAAACCAGTTCTATTCAGGCCACTTCATCTGGTGTCCTTTTCCCCAAAAATGTGGGGTTGTGGGAGCAAACTGTTCCTGAAGACAAGGAGCAAACCAGAGCTGGAGGTTGAACAGCTGAAGTGTCCGAGAGTGTGGCACCCATGACCTCTTCCTGGCCACCTTGCTGTTAGCAGCGTAGGCATACCCAAAACTCCACAGACCATGGTGTAGAAGGGGTGATTGGCAGTCAGAGCTGGTAGAGAATATTCTTTGCCTTGTGAAAATGTGGCATTTAAAAAATTCCATCCCAAATTTCAGAAAAGACTTAGTGTTCCCTCTTTTCTAAATCAAATGTAAAAATATCTCTTAGACAAATACCGTGCTGCTTTTTTTTTTCAAATATACTTAGTTTAACTTCACTAAGAAGATGTTCTCACCTGAAATCAAAGGCTTTTCAGACTTCTCAGTATTCCTATGAAGCAGAAATAAAATCAATCACTTCTTTTGATGAAAGTTTGGATACTTGTGGTTTTTTTCAGGAGAAATATTTGCTAAAAATTCCCAACCAGGCATTCTCTCTCTTCCCCCCTTTTCTCTGCAGATGACCAAAATGTGGAAAAGAGATGAGGCTCCTACTAGAGATTTCATGTCGCATTTTTCATGAGGAATTCACAGAGGGGAGGCTGATGCTCTTGAGATGAGCTTCTTCCCTCTGCTTGGTGCTCTAAGCAGCACAATTCATTATTACAAGTACAAAACAGAGTTGGGAAGCCGAAGGAAAGAGTGGAGAGACAGGGTGTAAGTACTGCTGAATACTGGTTAAATGTATTAGAGGCTGTAAATAGAGTTTGGCAAGCTGATCTCCAGCTTTAACTTTTGAATCACTCACTTCTACCCTTCTAGAAAAGACAAATTATTGTGAAAAAATTGGTGCCTCTTTCTGGGCTGGCTTCTGAAACTTGGTAAGCAAGGGTGCCCTGCCTTAAAACTGTTAGAGGTTGTATGTGTAAATGTGTTTTTCACTCTTTCTTTCTCAGACTCTCTGTCTTTGGTAATACTTTCAGTTTGAATCTTGGTGTTTTCCAGGGCTTCTGCTATAGGGGAACTGAGGACCATGGAGCAGTGCCCTGTTGCAGAGCTAGTAACCACAGCCTGCAGGCTGCAGCACAAAACTGGGCTAGCACAGCACACACACTGAAGAGACTCACTTCATTCTGTGCAGTTGTTAAGGGCCCAGGTCTTATCCCTCAGGACTGCAAACATGGCTCTGTACCGTGGAATGATTAAAAAACTTTACTGAATCAGCTGCAGTGTCATTGTGCTAGCTGCTCCAGGCTTCTCATTTTGTCCCACTAGAGATGCAGGCATTTCAGAAGAATCCAACTAAAAGGAGATGTTTGTCCTTGGTGTAGAATCACAGCTTCTTGGAATAGTTGGAATTGGAAGGAGCCTTTAAAGATCATCTAATCCAGTGCCCCTGCAATAAGCAGGGACATCTTCACCTAGATCAGGTTCTCAGAGATCCTGGCTTTGAATGTTCCCAGGGATGGGACATCTAGCACCTCTTTGGTCAAACCTTGTATTTTTTTCTTCCTTTTACCTGAAGTGTTGTATATGTAAGTAATATTTTTGGTGTGTATTTTATCCCCCAGCACACATTAAAGAAAGGTGACTGACTTCATATGTATTTCTACATCTTTACTTAAGATTTTTCTACCTTGATAGTTTTTTTTTTCAAAGACCTCTAATCCAAGTGAGCATTTCAGGTATCAACTGCAGCATTTGTGGACTTTATATGAAGGTACAAAATGTTTGGATTGATAAATAATGTGTGTAGTATTATTTTTATGTTAGTATTATACTATACTAATAATAATAATAACACTTTTGTGTTAGTATTTTGTGTTAGTATAAAAAACAATTTTTTACTTCTATCTGTGCCTGAAATACTTTTAAGATAAAGAAATCCTTCTACTATGCCACTAATCAGAGGATAATTCAAAGCATAGTTTCTGCAAGTTAGAAATATTCCTCAGGTTGTTTAACATTTCACAACTCCTGGTTGAGAGAATGCAAATGAAGCAAGCCAGTAAGTGAATACAAATTGATGTTACACACTGGTGTTTCTTCTAAATTTGGCTTGAGGCATAAAATAAGAGCTTGAGAAGCCAGTACAACAACCACTAGCTTTTATGATTCATTTACAGTAGTCACAGTGTTAAGCACAAATGAGTTTGTTGAAGCTATGCTCTCGATAGAAAAAAAAAATATTCATAGAGAAAATATGCTCCTAAATGTGACGATGTTTTCCTGTCAGGTGCTGCTGTTACAGTATCGAGGATTTCTTAGATCAGGAAGATAACCTAAAAACTGTAGCATTTTTTTAGGTGCTATGAAATACCAATCAAATGCCATTCAGCATTGAGTTCTGGGAAATCTGTGTGTGTGTGTGTGTTTGGCTGTTTCTGTTT